AATGCAATTTAACCAATTTTACTGTTCTCTCAACTTTTTAGTTAGCTCATATTATGCTTACTACAGTCATTCTTTTTTTTAGGATTTTATTTATTTATTCATGAGAGACAGAGAGAGAGGCAGAGACACAGGCAGAGGGACTCAATCCCAGGACCCTGGGATCACAACCTGAGCCAAAAGCAGATGCTCAACCACTGAGCCACCAGGTGCTCCTACTGCAGTTATTCTTAACCCCTAGATTGTCTACCTTCTTACTACTTCACCCATTTCTCATATTCCAGTATTCATCGACATTTTAGTGATTTCACTTATGCACCTAGAAAACATTTATTAATTGTCTTGTAGGTATCAGGCACTGTTTCAGGCACTGGGGCGCCGTGATAAGGTCTGAGTGAATTACATGAGACGCTTGGCCAATGCTTTTTGGAAAGTGAATCTTGAAAATTGTGATGATCGCCCAACACATGGATATACAATCTGTCCATCAGAAGGAAGATTCTGGAGGCCTGGGTTAAGTGTCTGGGCTCAGTTGGTTAAGTGTCTGCCCCTGGCTCAGGTCATGATCCCAGAGTTCTGGAATCCAGCCCCTAGGGCTCCCTGCTCAGCGAGGAACCTGCATCTCCCTCTCTCTCTGCCCAGTGCTCCCCCTGCTTGTGCTCTGTCAAATAAATCCATAAAATCTTAAAGAAAAAAAAAAGAAGGAAGATCCTTTTTGATATGTCTATAGGCTACATGAACACTGTGCAAAGCTTCTGCAAAGTAAAAGCAGCAACCACTTAGAGCTTATTCTGCACCACATATTGTTCCCAGTTCTTTACACATCCTCTCAGTCCGTTTTACAGATGGGAACACTTGGGCCCAGCAAGCTTAAGTGATCTTTCTTAAGTTACTCAGTGGTGGAGCTGGCCTTGAACCCAGGCAGCCTGGCTCCAGATTGCCTTTCTCTGACCCCCATGGCACTGAGGCCTCCTTAAGGTCTGCTTCTGACACAATGGAATTTCAGACAGCAGGAGGCCAGGAGAGGCCTTCGTTGGAAGACTTATATTCCTGAGAGAACTGGCAAGAGACATTGCTGATTGGCTGCCAGATAAGGATGGAATGGGCTTTGGAGAATTTCATACTGTCATGAAATAAACATGTGATTTTGACCTTCCAGAAGTGACAGAAACTATGCAAAATATCCCATTTTTATCCTTTCCTCCTTTCAGCCTTCTCTTGAGATCGTGATGTTCTGACAGATTTTTGCTCAAAATTGGCTGTGGCTTCCCAAGGGCTGAGATGCATACAATCTGGGAATAGGGGCACATCTATCTTTCAGACCAAAAAAAAAAAAAAAAAAGGACAGTTGTGCTGCTTGCAAAAGCTCTTAACACCTTGCACAGAACCCCCTCACCTTTTTTATGGGTGTCGAAACTAAAGTCCAGAAAGGGTAAGTAAGATCTGCCAAAAGCCACGGAGCTGAATCAAGCTGATCTACACACATAATCAAGCTGTTCCTTGTGAGAAGCTCCTGTGACTTGGATCCCACAGTCGCCACACATGTGACAAACAGTGGTCCCTGGACCACAGCATTCGCATCATCTGGGAGCTGGTTAAAGATACAGACTCGCAAGGCGCCTGGGTGACTCAGCTGGTTAAGCCACCGGTTAAGCGTCTACCTCTGGCTCAGGTCAAGATCTCAGATCCTGGGATGGAGCCCTGCATCAGGCTCCTCGCTCAGCGGGGAGTCTGCTTCTCCCTCTCCCTCTGCTGCTCCCCTTGCGCTAACTCTCAAATAAATAAAATCTTTTTTAAAAATTCCATCTTGCAGGCCACCTGGGTGGCTCAGTTAGTTAAGCATCCGACTCTTGACCTCAGCTCAGGTCTTGATCTCAGGGTCGTGAGTTCAAGCCCCGCCCAGCATGGAGCCTACTTAAAAAAAAAAATTGCAGACTCAGGCCTCACCCAAGCTGCTCAAGCAGTCTGCTTTTTAACAAGCCTCCTTCCTCCCCCACAGAATCCGTATGAATAAAGTTGGAGAAGTGCTGGGATGGTCACTAACTCAGTTTTCTAGATATTTTAGTCACAGGAGGGAGGCTGCGGTTGACTGCATATTGGCTAGAAGGGCATCAATCTCTTGAAAGGTATCTTCCTAGCCCCTCCTTGTACTTGAACTTAAAATTATCTTCCCGATGCAAACCAATCTTCAGTTTGATTTAAGGTAGATCTAGGCTTTGAAGTCTCAGTCATTCCTTGGTGAGCAGATATTAAGGCTTCAGATGTAAAAACCATGTTTCTTATGAGACCTAGAAAGAAATGGCCAAGAGTTCCCCATGACTCTTGGCCATTTACTATGGCCTGCTGGGGTCTTTTCTTCAGAGCAGGTTAAATGCCTTTCCCGAATCCCAGCAAGTCCCTCTGGCACAGACAGCAAACATAAATGCCAGCCCAGCTCCTGCCTAAGTTAATGTGAAGTAATCAAAACAATAATAGGAACAGCTATGCTTATATGGTGCTTACAGTGTGGCTGGTGCTGTTTTGATAGCTTAAATGTATCAAAAACTCAGTCCTCACAGCAACCCTACGTTATAGATGAATACAGTGAAGCACAGAGAGGTTGGTGGCTTTCCCGAGGCCACACAGCTAATTCAAGGTGGGGATTCTAATCCAGGCGGGCTGTCTCCGGAGGCCCTCCTGGTAACCATAGCATCACACTGCCTCTCAAAATTCAAAATAATGCTGCCCAGGGTTCCAAGAGCCCCTTATTAAAATGCTCTCTTACTAAAGCCTGATCATGTACCTAGGAGAATGTAGTTCACTTCAGAGATTTTACTCACCAAAAAGAAACAAAGAGAGGCCCTCAGCCACTAAGACGTTGTTTTACAAAGTTAAAACATTAACTCTGGTCTCTCCTTCTGGGTTGTGATCATGAGACCACGCGGTCTGCTGCTTGGAAGTACTTTACAACGTCCCTTTGCCTGTAACTGGAACCGGTTCCAACATTAAAATTGCATGGTGTTTTCTATAAATGAGAAGCAGTTGTGAATTCCAAGGATTCGTGACAATGCTGGCTCTGCTTATCTATTAAATCCGCGGTCTAATTTCTCTTTTTAGCTGCAGACAGCTCTTTTTCTAAGTGAAATCGTAAGGACCCTTCCAATAGACATGACTGGGCAAAGCCCCGTGCTCTGGAGTGAAGAGGGGAAAATCTCCTGACCTCCACCACCCACCCCAGGAGCCCCTGAAGGCCCAGCCCTAGAGTTCTGGAAACACAGGATGAAAAACCCCAGGAGCTGAAGGGAACTCTTGACATATGTTTGTAAAGGGCACTGCCCGACATTCAGCCAAACAGAGACGGGCTCCAGAAGTACGGCGAAGGGCCACGTTTCCAACTGCGAAGTAAGCCGCAGGCCTGCGAGGGGTAGCGACCAAAGTCACTTACCCATGCTTAAAGGAGAGCACACTTTGATCTTTATTCCTCAGTGACTTCTGTGTGCTCTGGAGACACAAAGCAAAGGGGACGCATACGTCTAGGCCCGGCACAGGTAAAGAACTGCGGGTAGAGGGCCGGGGATGAAAACGCTGGGAAGTCCCAGCCAATAATCCTGCCCAACCTGTTAACAGCAACGTGCATCCCACTGAGTGGCTGGCTGGCAGCCACTGCCAAGCCATTATCGCCCTGGGTGCAGAGAAACGGCATTCAAATGTACAGAAATTAGTACTTAATACAGTCTCAGGTGCTGGCCGCCCACAGGGAGAATGACAGAGTGGGTCCCACTATGCCCATGCTCTCCACTCCAGGTGGCATTGGTGCAACTGGATGCCAGGCCCCCTTCAGATCCCCTAGGAACCCTTTTAACCATTTCTGCACCCCCAGCCCAAACTCAATGGCCATTAGGTAATGACTTCGAATAAGAGAACAGGCTAGCTCCCCTGCCCGCGGTGGGTCTGGATGACCGGAAGGCACACTGAACCTTTCAGAGTCCCTGTCCTCTTTGGGACTTCGCCTGACACCACACCCTCGCTGGACTCCCTTCCCTTCCCCATCCCGGTTCCCCTAGAAGTTCTCTTGGCAATCATTTGCACATGAACTCCTAGCTCAGGGTCTGCCTCTAGGAGACGCCACCAAAGAGACCCCATGACCCGGCTCACTACCCACTAGCACAAATCACGTGGCGTCCCCAGTGGCAGTTCTGGTGTGCAGTTAATTAGCACAGTACTCGCCACACCCTTTTCCTGCCACAAATGTGTCCATGATCTTTAAGCCTAAACTGGTCTTCTTTGATTGAAAAGGATGAACCCTAATCCTAAATATTATAAAGTCTCTGTTGAGAAGAATGTTCAGGGCATGGCACGTGTGGATTAAAGAAGTGTTCAAGTTAAAAAAAAACTTTCTATGACATAGCAGTGTACTTTCCTTACTAAGCTGGGCATAAATGATTTAAATAAATCTTCAGGCGGTGGAGTTGGTTTCGGTGTCTGTCTCTCAAAGGTCGCAAACTTGCACAACCAAGGAGCTACAGAACTATATGATAAGTGAAAGGCTCACAAGCCTGCCAAGATAGACCTTGAAAATTGCTTTCTGGGGCACCTGGGTGGCTCAGTGGTTGAGCGTCTGTCTGCCTTTGGCTCTGGTCGTGACCCCGGAGTCCTGGGATCAGGTCCCACGTCAGGCTCCCTGCGTGGAGCCTGCTTCTCCCTCTGCCTGTGTCTCTGCCTCTCCCTCTGTGTGTCTCTCATGAATAAATAAATAAAATCTTTTTTTTAAAAAAAAGGAAAGAAAGAAAACTGCTTTCTGACATTTTTTATATGAGCTTGCTTACTTGTAGTTCCCTAACTCTATGGATTTGCATGTGGCAAAAAAAAATGTTCCCTTGGATTCCACTTCTGACAACTTTGAAGCATGTCCATCCCGTGGGATGGGAACTATGATCAACCCAGTGAGACCTGGTGACCCCCATGGGGCCAGCCTCACTGACCGCACACGTGGACTTTCACAAACACGTAACAACACGGCTCACCTTTATTCCCAGGGCTTCTCCAGAAATGACGGCAACTGTCACACCATCCTTACTGGGTTTGGGGATTTCTTTACTTTTCAGTTCCTGGTACTGAGGCTCCACCATCTTCTCTGTGCTGCGCAAATTAACCCACAGCTGTAGGCCGTGGGCTGGCTCCTCTGAGCAAGGCATCTCGGCGTGCAGAATGCCCCGGCCCGCAGTCATCCACTGCAAACAGCAGACCAACAAGAAGGGAATATGTAACCCAGGCTCTGCCAAGTCTGCAGGTGGGGCAGGTATGTCACGAGGGCTAAGCCGGGCACCTTACAGGTGCTGCTTTCAGGGTCCCAGGGCGTCGGGGGGAACAACAGGGCCGCAATGACAACCGCTGAAGCCAATTTCCAGGATTCCAAATGCCTCGCAAGCTTCCTCATTTGAACTCCAAGCATCGGACCTGGAACTCAACCCGGAGTGTCGGACTGAGCTCCGAGGTGGGGAGCTGCGGGCGGCCAGTGTCCCGGGCACCTCTCTCGGGAGATGCGCCCCGCGGGTAAGGAACACGACTGGGCTGGGGGGAGAAGCCAATCAGCAATGCGGTGACTAAGGAGACCTCGGCCGGTCCAACGCGGACCCCTGGCCTCGCATGAACCTTAGGATTGCCCTAAACTCGGACGAAGTGGCCAAGCTTCTCTGTCCCACCCCGGCAAACCATGAACTGTGCCCCCCCATGGGGAGCGGCCCCGGGAGAGGCCGTCGGTGCTGCGGAGGGCGGTGCCTGGACGGCCGCCCGTGCGGGGCACCTGGAGGACACCTGCGCGGACCTGCAGGTGCCGCCGCTCCAGGCCCGGGCAAGGAGCCTCACCACCCGGCGGGGCAGTAATCGCCTCGGCGCCGTGTGTTGCTTTAGGGACGCGAGCCTCAGGCCTGGGGGCGAAGGGATGGACCGCGGCGGCCAGGCCGTGAGCCGGGGCCGGCCCCAGAGACCCTGCGACGAGGGACTGAAGGGCAAGTGTTCGCTTGGGAGGTGCTGCGGGAAGCCCCGGCGAAGGAGAGAGCGAGCTCGACAGGGGAGGGAGCCCAAAAGGGGCACGACAAGCAGGTGACACCTGGGGGCGCCCGGGGCTCGGTCCCCCGGGGGTGTGGAAGGGGGCTTGGCGCTCTCCCCGCCACCCCCAACCCTCCCGGACAGGCGCCCCTCGGGTGTCCCTTCCCCAGCACAGCCGGCAGCCGAGCGCCTGGGACGGACAGCCACGGGGACTGCTGCCACCGGGACACGGACGGGGGCAGAGGGTGAAGACGCAGGCCACCAACCGCGTCTTCCGGGCGGCCCTCGTGGGGACAGAAACCCCTCCCCAGTCAAAGCGCCCTTGGCACACGCCCGTAGCCGGCACCGCGGCGGGGTTGGGGCACCACGGGCTTCCGAGAGGCCGCACCAAACGGCCTGCCTCCTCCAGGCAGCAATCCTGAGGCTGCACCCTTCGGGCGGAGACCCAGGCAAGGAGTCAGAAGCGAGCAAGGGCAAGAGGAAGGGAGTCCACGGACAGGGAACAGCAGGGGAAAAGCCTCTGAGCATATCAGCCCCCAGATGGGAAAGAAGGCCAGCACGTATTTCCGAGTTTTCTTTCTGTCACTAAATCTAAATAGATTTCCGTCTTCCATTTGCTCAGACTGATTAAACCTTCTAATTAGAGGGGTCCGCGAACGACAGCCCAGGGGCCTAGACCCAGCCTGCCACCTGGTCCGGTACGTGAAGTTTCGCTGACACACGCACGTGCCCGTTCAGTGCCATCCTGTCTGCCTGCTTGCATGCTGTGGAGGCAGGGTGGATGGTTGCCACGTAGGGGACCGCCTGCCCCACAAAGCCTCAAATATGTGCTCTCTGCTTATTACCGAAAACATGCGCTGAGGCCTGCTCTCTCACTACGTGAAGATCTCAGCGCCCCTCCACGCTGCGCTTCCTCCAACTGACAGCAGCTACTGGTGCATCTCAATGACTTGGCCTCCTGTTCCTTTCCCTGTTTCATTCACAGTTCGTCTCTCCATATTTTCAACCTACTTTTCATACCTTGTTTATCCTTTTTTAGATATGACCAAGTTTGGCAGGAACTTTTTCTTAATATGTACAGCCCATCCATTGGATTTGGAGGGGGGAAACAGATTTCTTCTTTCAACCCCACCATTTGCTAGCTCTGAGGCCATGGATATCTTTTTTTTTTTTTTGGCATCTTTAAATCCCCATTCTCTCATTTTAAAAATGAGGTAGAAAGAATACTTACCTTACGGAGATTATGCACATGAAAATGCTTTCAATTTCATGTTCATTGAAACACCACAATTCAAATCTGTGCAGTTAAAACTCCACACAATATGTAAATAACCCCAGAAAATTCTTGACATAGGGTTCAGACTCACAAACCCAGCAAAGAATACCGAAGAGTTTCCTAGGGATTCTAATATGTTTCAAACAAGCCTAGGATGGTGGCAAGATTTGCATCATGATCTTAAGTGGCAACATCTACCCCTGCAAACAAGTTGGAAGACAGAGAGTAAATTGTCACAGGGCACCGGGGTGGCCCAGTCGGTTAAGTGTCTGACTCTCAGTTTCAGCTCAAATCATGATCTCAGGGTTGTGGGACTGAGCCCTGCAACGGGCTCCTCCCTCAGCTCAGAGTCTACTTGAGATTCTCTCTCTGCCCTCCCCCTTCTCTCTCTCTCTCTCTCTCTCTCTCTCTCTCTCTCTTTCTCTCTCTCTCATAAATAAATAAATATATAAAATCTTTAAAAAAAAGTAAATTGCCACAAATGTAGCAGAAAGGTCTAGAAAGATGAAGACTGGTACACTGGATTTGGCAATGGGGACATCTGACTGACCACTGCCTGTGCAGGTTCAGTAGAGGTTTGTGTGGATGTTGAGAGAGGCCAACCCTGATTTCTGAGAGTGAAGGATGAAATGGGCGACAAGGAATTACGACAATCATCCTTGATTGTGCTTTTGAGAAACCGAAGAGAAAGACTAGTTGGGAACCTAAAAGTGACTGAGGGGGTCAAGGAAAGCTTGAGAGGTGAATACCAAAGACCTATGCAGGCTTGTATGCTGAGTGGAAGGAGCCACAGAAAAGAAGAGGTCAAAAATTTAAGAGAGAGAAAGTGGGAATGTACTGGAATTGGGCGATAGCAAGCATGCACCCCCAGAGACTATTACACCGTCAGCAATTCCTTGTCGTTGGCCATACCTGCAGGTCTCCTGGGTTCATCTGACCAACATGTCCACAGAAGTCTTCATGGGCCATGCTGCCGCCTTCCAGGAGGTAAGATACCTTTGACAAAACAAGCAGAAGAAAAAGTAGGTATTCGGCAGCTGTGAGGAATGGTTGACTTGAAATTGTGTTGAGGCCAGTGTCGGGAGCAGCTGAGACAGGAGCGTGGGCGGAGGGAATGAATCTGAGGGCAAGGGCCATGCTAGCCCATGCAAGTTCTCAGAGAATTTCAAATAGGACCCCTTTGCTCCGCGTAGATGCGGCCCTGAGCGTGCCAGAGCTCACAGCCAGGTGACAGAAGCCCCCACTTGTCCCCTCGGCCTGCAGATGGGTGAAAGAGAGGCAGCTCCCGTTGAAACAGCAGGGCCGTGTTACCAAGGCCATGTTCACCCGGGTGTGTGGGACGACAGATCCCAGGTCTCCACACCTTTCCCTAAAAGCTGATTTGAGAAATCCAAAGACAGTGTATTCCCAACACCAGACATACAAACTCACTTAGGTGCTCAATAGACACACGTAAAATGTCAAACGGATTCATATAAATTAAAGTCAACTTTTCCGGGGGCATGTCCATACTAAATCTAAGAATGGAAAGAAATTGTGTTGTCAGGCAGAGTAGCTCCTAGCCACGTGTAGCTATTTAAGTTTAACTAATTTTTTGGTATATTTTTTATTGGAGTTCGATTTGCCAACATAGAGCATAACACCCAGTGCTCATCCCGTCCAGTGTCTCCCTCAGTGCCAGTCACCCAGTCACCCCCACCCCCCGCCCACCTCCCCTTCCACCACCCCTAGTTCATTTCCCAGAGTTAGGAGTCTCTCCTGTTCTGTCTCCCTCCCTGATATTTCCCACTCATTTTCTCTCCTTTCCCCTATAATCCCTTTCACTATTTTTGACAGTCCCCAAATGAATGAGACCATATAATGATTGTCCTTCTCCAACTGACTTCCTTCACTCAGCATAATACCCTCTAGTTCCATCCACATTAAAGCAAATAAAGTGAAACAAAACTAAAAATCCAGCTCCTCAGTTGCACTGGCCACATTTCAAATGCCAAACTCCTGGCTCTCCCCTTCCTCTTCTGCAATCAGCCTGCCCAGAGAAAGCGAGTGCCTCTGGGAGAGGCCAGCCCCCACAGCAGTGACCTTCACGGGTCCGGCACAGCCAGTGAGATCTGAATAAAGTCTAAGTTTCGCTCGCAATTCAGTATTTGGAAGTTCAGCCACGTGCAGATGGAAGCCACATTCTCTACCATCAGCTTTATCAGAAATAAGGTAGTCTTTTGTGTCTGCCATCTTTCTTATTCTTTTATGGTCTCCAATGGCTCAGAATTCATGCTGGGAAATTAGGCCATCATTTACTATGCCTCCTCATACCCCAAAGGGGAACTAAAGACCTGCTACCATCAAGTTGTTGAAATTTTATATTGTAGCCTTATAATAAACCCCCTTTGCCGTGAGCCAACTTTATAGGATGCCAGTTCCTGAAACCAAAGACTTACACAGAGCACTTATGACAGTAGAAATCAGGACTGCCTGATAGGAGGACTCTCCGTGTGGCATCCTGCCAAGCAACGACATGGAGGTACACCATGTACAGAGTGGCCTCGGCAGCAACCTCTACCCCAGGTGACAGGCAGACAGCTACGGAAATTGGAGGTTCTAGGTTACGACAGTTCATTTCATGTGACAACTTGACTGGGCTAACGGATGCCCAGATACATGTAAAGCATTACTTCTGGTTGCATCCGTGAAGGTGTTTCCAGAAGAGATTGGCATTTGAGTCAGTAGACTGAGTAAGGAAGATTGCCCTCACCAGTGTGGGTGGGCATCATCCAATATACTGGGGGCCCCAACAGGACAAGAGGCAGAAGGGTGAATTCCTCCTCTTTCTCCTTTAGCTGGAACATCTAAGGTCTCCTGTCCTCAGACATCGGAACTCCTAGTTCTTGGCCTTCAGATGCTGGCACTGACACCAGCAGCAACCCCTGTCCCTTGTCCCGTCCCCCTGTCCCCTGTCCCAATTCTCAGACCTTGGGCCTCAGACTAAATTATGCTACCAGCTTTCCCAGTTCTCCAGCTTACAGAGGGGAGATCGTGAGACTTCTCCACCTCCATAACTGTGTGAGCCAACTCCTATAATAAACCTCCTCTTGTACATCCATGACAGCGATTCCAAATCAGTGGAGCCAGGATGCATTTTCTGATAAACAGTATTGGAACTGACTGACCATATGAGAAGAGAGAGTAAGCCTCCACTATATATGGAAATGTATTCCAAGTGGATAAAGATTTAAATGTTAAAAATAAACTTCTGAGATTTAAATCTAAGAAGACAAAATGTCAGCACAAATCTGTCTTTGCAATTTATTATAGCAGCAAGAAGACAGGAACAATCGGATGACGGGCCTACTAGGGCACACTTACCTAATTATGGTACAGCCATACAAGAGAATATTACACAACTGTTAAAAAAAAGTGATGTAGGGCAGCCCGGGTGGCTCAGCGGTTTAGTGCTGCCTTCAGCCCAGGGCATGATCCTGGAGACCCAGGTTCGAGTCCCGCATTGGGCTCCCTGCATGGAGCCTGCTTCTCCCTCTGCTGCATTCTCTCTCTTTCTCTCTCACTCATTAATAAATAAATAAATAAGTTTTTTAAATAAATAAATAAGTGATGTAGAGCTCTATTCACTGACCCAGAAAACCAAAATACTATTTATTTTTTAAAGATTTTATTTATTTATTATTTATTCACAAGAGACACACAGAGAGAGAGAAGCAGAGAGACAGGCAGAGGAAGAAGCAGGATCAGGCCCTGGGCTGAAGGCTGCGCTAAACCACTGAGCAACCTGACCTGCCCCCCAAAATACTATTTAATCAAAAAAAGCAAGTTACCAACAGCAATTTTATTTAAAGAGGTCACATACAATGATGAGTTTAAATGGGTTCATTTAAATAAAATTGTATCCCGTCATGTTAGGGTTTGCGTGGAGATGCCTGGACAGACACACCAAAATGTGGACAGTGGTCATCTCCAGGTAGTAGAATTGCAAGTACATTGTATTATATCCTCATCCCACTTTTCTGATAGTTTGGGTCTTCCTGCAATGAGTAGTTTACTTTTTTACAACGGAAACAACTCTTTTATTTTGTGAAAATATAAAGATACTACCGTTCACCGGTGAATGAAAAGAAGTGACCTGCTTTCTTCTGCAGAGATGCTGGTGAATATTTCTTCCCTCTTTAGGTGAACTGGGGCTGGCCAGAAAGGCGGTGAGACAGAAGGGAAAATACAAAGAATTGGAAGAATAACACCATACAGTGTGAGAGGACCATGCAGCGAGCTGCGATGTTGCTAGGCAGAAAAGACCTGGAATTATTATTATAGAGGCCAAACTAGGAATGAAGTACTAAAGACCTCATACAAAGCTTAAAAATTAAAGAGGACAAATGAAAAGCTTCCAAATCTCAAACAACCAAACTAGAAGGAACAGTGTCTAGAATTGCTTTTCCTTTTCCTGTTTATGCAGGCATTTTTGATTAAAATAACTGCGTAATAAAGGCAATTTTCATTCTGTTTGGGTGAAGCTTTGAGTTCTCAAAGGAGTCTCTTTCAAATCATATTCCTTCCATCTCCGAAGTTTTTTCAATTACCCCAGCCTAGGGACTTTCGAGTTGTTAATCATCTAAAAAGATGTCAGGCAACTTTAAAAAGTAAATTGTGGTGAGCATGACTCATTCAAAGATGAAAATTTACGCAGACACCAAAAGAGGTTTGTGCATGTGTGCGTGCGTGCTTGTTGCAAGTTTTATTTTAGAGAGCAATGCCAACACTGTTTCTAAAAGGCAGAAGGCGGTTATCCCCACTTTTCCCCTACTTTTTCAGCGTGGATGTCCTCTTTTCTCTGGTCACAAAAGTCAACATCATGCCTCCCATGCTAAATACTATAAAATCTGAATTGGAGAAGTCTGGTCAATGAAGCTTTACTGAGGCCATAATGCCTGCCCTTGACCACTTAAAGCAAAAGCCATACTTTTAGCCGTTGGGAGGGAAGAAAAAAAATCAGAAACCAATGACCCCTTAGTTTTGCTTATCTTATCTTTTCTTTCTTTATTTTTCTTAAGTGCTGTAAATCCTACACTGAGACCTTCAGTATAAATGATGCCTGCAGAGGATTTTTTTTGAAACTCAAGCCGTACTCTACTCTGAGAGCTGACACAAACCAGATGATCTTTTAGGACATTACATAATCGCAAACACCTGGAGAGTTGCTGTGGGTGGCTGATGGAACTGGGAGTGTTATGTTTAAACTCAAGAGTTGCGTGTGTCTAATTAAGAAGTCTGTAATCTGAAACAGGTGTTTTTTTAAAGGACTTGCCATGCTTTCTGATCCTGCTCCGTCCTTTCCTCCATCCTAGTCCTAAACTTTCCATGGAAAACACTTCTGCTTCCTTGTCAGTTCTTACTTCTTGATGCCTTTGCCTATTTGGAAGGAGAGAGACACGATGCCGAAACAGGAACCAGAGAAAAGTGCCACTTGCAACGTGAAATTTAAGAAACGTGCACCTCAAGGAGCTATCACTTAATTCTGAAGAATTATAGCACGAGATAGAGTCAAGTTTGTTGTTTCTTTCTGGCTGGTATTTAGAAGGACGAGTGTGATGATCTCATTCAATGTTTCTAGATGCAAGACTTTTTCTTTAAAGCACAAAGTTTGCACTATAGATAAAACTACGTTTACTTTTCATTTCCCTATGCCTGAAATGGTGGCCTTTTCTATTGGTAGCTGAGTAGGAAAAAGAGAAAAACAAAACAAAAACAGGGGTGGAGGCCATGGCTGTGGAGAGAGGCCAGCAAGGAGCACATTGCTTAATAGAAGCAGCTAGCAGGTCTTCAAGGCTAGAAATGTAATGTTCAGATCCATACAATTAAGGACCCACGTTATTTTACAAAAATGTTTTACTTACTTGGGCAATTGCGGAGAAATCTGGAATATCACCCCACTAAAATAAGCTCATCCAATCCTGACCCCACATAAACACCTTCACAAGTGCCAATGG